CATACAGAGATAATGAGCTAATAATAGATTAATGGGTAACAGCATATTACTGATGCACGGGTGACACCGTATGACTAGGTATTTAGAGGAATTGCTTGGTAGTATACCCGTTTAGGTTATTCCGTTATCAGATTTGTCCTTGTTATGCATGTGCCATGAACGCAAGCCTAGGTTTCTAAGGCATTGCCTATTCTGCGCGTTCTCTCCCGATCGCTGACTAAGTCATTTTATCATTGGATCGTTCCAGCATGTTCGTGGACGACCAAGATCGAACTGTAGTCAAGTGGAACCCATTTAATTAAAAGTCTACGGTGATAATTAATCTTTGCTGTCGACAGTGCAGCACCGTGCTTTCCGATTCGATGGCAAGCGACATGAGGAAACAGAACTGAAAATTTATTTAAATGACAGTTTCGATCGGCCTCACATTAATCCTCACCAGAAAAATATGTGATGTTGATCGAAACGCTGGTCTGTAAATAAACTAATATTTTTGCTTCTTCGTATGGCTAACCATAGAAATATAAATCATCCTGATGCTCAATCATCATGGCAAGGCATTGTCAGCAGTTTTGATAATCTTGCTGAAAGAAATAAATATGCATTGGCCCCCTTCAAAACAATGAAGCATATTGCAACACATAAATAAGAGGATTACCTTAGCTTCAAGTTCTTTTGGAAACCTGTTCAATATTTGGACTGAGAGTGAGTAACTTATGAGCAAATATTCGGCTGTCAGCTCGATGATGTTGAACGTCATGGAGACAGTTGTTCTAACGAAGGATCAAGGTCGACTGAAACTGCGAATAGCTTCGACACATAAGGAGGGTCAAACGGCAGGACCACATAACATAAGTAATGATCCTGTCGTTTTCAGAGTATACGTTACCTCAGTAGATGTGGAGATCAAGAAAATCCGGTTAGCCCCGTAGACAAACTATTGAGTCTAAAACAGTTAACATTTACTCCAGACCATGCGGTTCTTATGAGGAGGTGAACACGGCAGAGTCGTCCAAGAGATCAGGGAACATGGATGAAAAAGTAAAAACAGATTTGCCTCCTAGAGGAACTGTTCTTTCTAAAATTCAGTAGCTGTTATCTGTAGCAAAAGCGCTGAAACTAACCCCCCCCCTCCCCGAACTAAATACCGAAGGCTTCAAAAACCAGAGAATCGCCGTTCTGCTTATGCAAACGATTCAAGATAATGATATTAACGAGTACTATATTACAGTTTTTGCGTTAGCCTCACACTTGACTGTTTCTGACACAGTATGCATTACTTTTTATAACTTTTCCCAGTTTCTTTTAAAGTGTATACACATTTAACACCAACTACTCGTTACAGAAGCTGTCACAGCAACTCGTATAAAATTCACAATGCGAATACAACGACCACATCAATCAATCATGCGACCTGGTTACTTACTGACGCATTTTGTGTCGTTCAGTCGGACGGAGTACGGGAAACAGGAACAGTAGTAGAATGGCGGCTGAAGAGTCCTCGTACAAGCGCCAAGTCCACAGATGGTCGGCGAAGAGATGCACCGGTCACGAGCTGAAACAGCGGCGTAAAACGACCGGTGGTGGTGGTGGTCGGCGAACGGTCCAGCAGGCAGGGGGCAATGCCGCGACAGCTGAACCTGCGACACTCACCTCGACATAACGGGAACGACGGGTTGGAGTCGTCTATCAACACGTAGTCGTCCTTGCATACGCAGTAGTAGGAGCCGACGGTGTTGATGCAGGTGGTGGTGTTCGGGCAACGAGCGGTGTTTCGGGCGCACTCGTTCACATCTACGCAAGGAACGCTGTCAGGAGATGAGCTGGAAAAGCCGGGGCCGCAAACGCACTTGAATCCGGGCTCCGTGTTAACGCACAACTCGCCGGAGTGTGTGCAGTTGTGAAAGTCCAGCACGCATTCGTTGATGTCTGCAACAGAGCATAAGCGAAGTCAGGAGTGTGTGTGTGTGTGTGTGTGTGTGTGTGTATGTGCCAGTCGGTCTGTTTGATTTGATCTTCAGGACCACTACAACCTACCTACGCAAATTCCGGGGTACTCGAACCTGAACCCACTTTTGCATGCGCACGTAAAGCTGCCTATGGTGTTGTGGCAGTCTTCTGACCGTTGGTCGCAATTGCTGCCTCCTTCGACGCATTCGTCGATGTCTAAAATTGTCTGTCACAGCGGCCATCGACCGTTGGCAGCAAAGTTACCCACGCACTCTCCGTTGGACAAGCGGAAGCCGACCGTGCATTCACACCGAAAGCCGCCGACCTCATTCACGCATTCTGAGTTCAGTGTGCAGTTGTGCTCCTCGTTCAGGCACTCGTTGCGGTCCTTGCACACCACCGGCTGTTCCATGTGACTCCAAAGAGGTTCGAATCCTTTGTCGCATAAGCAGGTATAACTTCCGACCGTATTCAAACAGTACGAATGCTCGTTTGGACACCATTCTTTCGCATTCTTGCACTCGTCGATGTCTAAATCCAAGAGTCCAAACTAAGGCTGCAAAACTAAGGATTGCGGACCGGCAAACTGACCTGAACACGTGCCTGACGTACCGTTGCCAACGAATCCTGATTTGCATTTACAGCTGTACGCATGGCCAGCTATGTGTGGGACTTCGTCGAAACACAACCCAAAATTAGGGTCACAGCGATTTTCGTCAGGAGTCAGACACTCGTCGATGTCTGAAACACGGTTTGAAATTTTAAATCACCGACGTAGATGTTCCTG